ACTGCAAAACAATATAAGCCGAACAGATCTAATCTTGGTGAGTACATCTGTCGAAGTGGAAGTGGGGGAAGGGAGGAGGGGCCGAGGGGGGGAAGAAGGGTGGGCGTAAGTCAGAGGAAAGGAGAGGAACTTAACAGAGGGAAAACTGCTGAAGGGTTGGCGTCATCAGAATTCAGAAGTCAGAACTACGGAGTAGGGGTGGCTGGCTGCTCTGCCTCTGCTTGTTAATTTGGTTCATGAAAAGCAGAGCTCGAGAAAACAAAAGAAAATGAAAGAAAGTGAGAGAAAATTTTGTTGTTTGGTTGGGTCACGGGGAATCCCTAAACTAAAAGCCTTTATTGTTTGGTTTTAGGTACTTATTTTTCTCTTTTTAACTAGCTAGTACCTTTTTGTGACCAAATATAAGACTAAAGAATGTGATAATTGGAAGCAGAAACAGAGAGAGAGGCTTTTCTCGAGAAAAATAAGAGAATTAGTAAAAGAGAAAAATGGCCAATCTTGGAACTGCAAAGTGGAAACCAAAACACACCCCCACAATTGCAAGTGGCTCTTTGCTGCCTTTGCTTTCAAATAAGAATATCACGTACTCTTTTTTTCCTTTTGTATTTTTATTTTTCTAAATTTAAGTGGAAAATCATAGGATTGAGTAAGTGATCTTCTTTTTTCTTTTTTTTTTTTTGATAAGGGAAACATTTGTTAGGAGTTAATATTTATTTTTAGATTAGTATCAGGAGTCGAAATTATGTGAACTCTACTTGTTACTTTTGGAGTAGCATGACTCATCCATTAAATCACATGAAAGAGTTTAAGTAAGTGATTTATATACAAATTTTCATGAACATGAGATTTTCTTATCCATTTTGACTTTTAATTACACAATAAATGATAAATCAAATCCTCTCCCATGCTTTTTTATTTCTTCAAAAAAAGTGATATAGTTAGAGCAACTTCTAAAAAAAGTTCAATCAAACATCATATTATATACTTTCTAAAATTTGGAGAAATTTGCCCTCTATAGCTAGGTGAGGTATAGCTATCATGAAGTTATATGCATGAGTGGATTGATTTAATAGATTAATAAATTTTATCACATTAAAAAATTTATTTATATAATTTTTTAAAAATAATATAATTATAATATTATTTATTATTATAAATTTATAATTTTTATATCCTAATATAATTATTTTTTTGAACATGAAGAAATTTTTAGAAAATAAGAGATTTTTTTTTTTAAATCGTTGAAAATTAAATTCTTGATTAATTAAAACTAAATCATAATATAATTAATTTTTCATTCAAAAACTTATAAACAATATTACCTAAAACAACATATCAAGATTATAAACTACATTACGTTGTAATTATTTCGTTGCTGTCACTCAACTGAGTATATAATCAATCACTACTAGAGGTTGTTTGGAAGTTGTGATTTGGTGGATCTTAAGGGAGAAATTTAGGGGGTGATGGTGAAGATAAATTGACAGTTGAGGGTTTCTAGTAAGAAAAGACAGTAGTACTAGTCAAAAACAGTGAAAATGGAAGCAGCAGAGTTGAAGGTTGGACTTGGATGAATGAAGTGGATTTAGATGTGTGAACTGTGGAGTTAGTTAATTTCGTGTGAGCTGGATCCACTCTTTCAGGACTGACCCACTTTTCAATTTAATATTCAATAAATTATATCTTAAAAATTAAAAAAATAAAAATAAAAAAGGCAGAATTTGAGCTTGAGAAGCTTGAGACAAAGCTATGTGATATGTCTTCTTCTTCAACTTCAATCTCTACAAAAATATTCATCTTTCTCGAATAATATTCCAAAACCCATCTTTTTTTCTCTCAAATTTTTCTCCTTTTTGCCCTTTCTTCAACTGGGTATCCGAATTTCGATTTGGGTATTCAAAAAGATTGGTTTTTGATGCCAAGTTCAAGTTCAGGCACGTGAAATTCTGAACAGCTCTGCAAATTCTCCTCTGTTTTCCCTGGTTTTGGTTCAAAAGTGTTTTGGGGTATGAATCCGAGTAACGGGAAAGGACCCATCTCCATGGCTAGTTCCAGCGCCTCTTGGAGAGTAGGAGATGGTGTTTCCGATCAGTTTCCGGCGGGTCTGAGGGTGCTGGTTGTTGATGATGATCCGACTTGTCTCAGGATCTTGGAGAAGATGCTTAGGACTTGTCTTTATGAAGGTAAACTCATCTTTCTTACATGTTTTGTCTTCAATTCTAGTCTTTGATTCCTAGTGCCTCTTCAAGATTTTTCCTTTTTTTTTCTCCTTTATAGGATGTTTATGACCTCGAAAAGTATAATTTCTTGTGTTTTTCAGTTTCTGTTTGCTTTTCTATCTGGGTTTTTAGTTGAGAAAAGAAATGAACTTTGTTTCTTAGGTTTGGGAACAGTATGAAATCTTAAATGCTTTAAGCTTTGCTTCTGTTCAGAATCAAATCGTGGATTAGGGCAAGGATTTGTTCTAACTTTGAATTTTCCTTTAGAGGTCAAGTTGAGTTCTGATTTGTTCACGTAAGAATAGTGTGTTTTCTTGTGGATGTATGTTGTTTGGAGAAAAAAAGGTACATTTTATTCTAATTTGGGGATTGTTGATTGAGTTTCTTTGGGGCTTTCCAGTAACAAAATGCAATCGAGCAGAGACGGCGTTATCACTCTTACGAGGGAACAAAAATGGATTCGATATTGTTATCAGTGATGTCCACATGCCAGATATGGATGGATTCAAGCTGCTAGAGTATATTGGTTTGGAGATGGATCTCCCAGTTATCAGTAAGTTATCACCATGAATCTATGACTTAACACCTTCCCTTAGTGGTTTGTGGTCTCGATTTGACTTGTGTATGTTCACAGTGATGTCTGCAGATGATGGGAAAAATGTTGTGATGAAGGGTGTAACTCATGGCGCCTGTGATTACCTTATCAAACCTGTACGTATAGAGGCACTGAAGAACATATGGCAGCATGTGGTCCGGAAGAGGAAGAATGAGTGGAAGGATTTTGAGCAATCAGGAAGTGTAGAAGAAGATCGGCAGCAAAAGCAATCTGATGAGGCAGATTACTCATCTTCAGCCAATGAAGGTAACTGGAAAAATTCCAAAAAGAGGAAAGATGACGAAGAAGAATCAGAGGAGAGGGATGATTCATCCACCCTAAAGAAGCCAAGGGTAGTTTGGTCTGTCGAACTCCATCAACAGTTTGTTGCAGCAGTCAATCAGCTAGGCATTGACAGTATGTGACTTTTGCTCTAACTTGCCAATGCTTAACTGCTGTATATTATGTTACCTGCTCACTGTATTTCTCTCTTATGCCTTTTTCCCTAATCTACCTATGCAGAGGCTGTTCCAAAGAAAATTTTGGAGTTGATGAATGTTCCGGGGCTTACTAGAGAAAATGTTGCTAGCCACCTACAGGTAACACACATTTGTAAAGAATTAGAGTAATTTCTGTTTCTTCCTTGTCTATGACATTATATAATGATCGTATTGTGGGTAACTTTGCTCTGTTCATAATGCTGTGTTTGTCATATGATCCAGAAGTATCGGTTGTATCTTAGAAGGCTAAGTGGGGTATCACAGCATCCAAATAACTTGAATGGTTCTTTTATGAATCCCCAAGAAGCAGCTTTTGGGCAACTGTCTTCACTCAATGGGCTTGATCTTCAAGCTCTTGCTGCTGCTGGTCAGCTTCCAGCGCACAGTCTTGCCACACTTCAAGCAGCAGGGCTTGGTAGGTCAACTCCAAAATCCAGCATTCATATGCCCCTTGTTGACCAGAGAAACGTCTTTAGCTTTGAAAATCCAAAGTTGAGACTTGGCGAGGGGCAGCAGCAACATATGCCCAGTAATAAGCAGATGGGCTTACTTCATGGAATCCCAACAACCATGGAGCCAAAGCAGCTTGCTAATCTGCAGCATACTGCTCAATCCATTGGAAACATAAATATGCAAATCAATTCCCAAGGAGGGCAAAGCAGCCAGAATAATTCTCTGCTGATGCAAATGGCCCAGTCACAGTCAAGAGGGCAGATACTTGGTGAAACAGCCGGGGGTCATGTTCCGAGGCTTCCTTCAACCATAGGACAGCCTATCTTGACACCTGATATTGGTCCTAATGTCTCTGCAAGAAATGGAATTCCTGAGAACATCAGAAGCACTGGTTACAATCCGGTTTCACAAACCTCCTCATTGTTGAATTTCCCCATGACCCCTACTTCAGAATTGTCTGTTAATAGCTACCCTCTTGGAAACACTTCTGGAGTATCCAGTCTCCCATCCAAAGGGTCATTTCAGCAAGATATTAATTCGGACATTAAAGGATCAGTGGGATTCATGCCAAGTTTTGATATATTTAATGACTTGCATCAGCATAAATCTCAAAATTGGGAGCTAGAGAATGTGGGCATGACATTTGATGCTTCACGGCATTCAAACTCTGCACAGGGCAGTCTTGATCTTGCACAATCAGTTTTAGCACATCAAGGGTTTTCTTCTGGTCAAATGACAGGACAGAACCGAAATGCAGCAGCCATAGGCAGCACAATGTTCTCATCAAATAATGGAACTGAGCATGGGAATGCACAAAATGTTGGCCCTCACCTAAATGCCCTTCTTATTGACAATCAAATAAGAGTTAAGACCGAGACATTTCATGATTCTAATCCTGCCAATATCTTTCCTGAGCACTTTGGTCAAGAGGACCTCATGAGTGCCCTTCTGAAGCAGGTTAGTTTCTTTCCTGATATCCCTTACATACTTGTTTTTGATGCCCTGTCACTTGCTTTGATGAACTGATGATTTTGATTACTAATCTTGAAGTTTCTTCCCTTTTTTGGCAGCAAGAGGGCATTGCATCAGCTGAACATGAGTTTGATTTTGATGGATATTCAATGGATAATATTTCGGTGTAGGGCATTTCCCATTCTCCATTCTCTTTATGGTTGCGGTTTCCAACGTACATAATCACTATCACAGAAATATTTCTCTTATGCAATCAGTTTGCTGGAGCTCAAGTTTGTCTCTTCTGCACAAAACAGGGTTTGCTTGCTTTCAAATACTGCATCTTCTCTTTTGAATATCTAGTTATGCTGGTTTCTCTTGGACATAGAAGGATCAGAGGAGGACTAGTATCAACCAGGATCATTTGTCAGAAGAAAAATTATGAAGCATGTAAGATACTGCTGCATGATATGCAAAGGCATGCATGCAAAATTTTGGTTGTTTTTAGTAGCAAAGAAGCAACTAAATTGTAGGATGCTTTTGAAGGTTTTAAGTATGGGGAGAACATTGCTTTTAGACAGCTGCAAACGGTAGGGAGATTTTCTAATAACAGATCAAGCTTGCTGCTATTGCTTCTTTCATTCTTCTCAGACCCCACTCTCCGGATTATCCTTGCTCTTTCCGGTCTCATTTTCCATTTTTTCTTGTTAGGGAATTGAATGTGATGTACATATTCCATTGGATTGCTTTAGACATAAGTCTGAGCATTCATTTCAGGCTCTCTTGGACTTGAATCTTATAAGACTCTCATTTGGCTTCGTTGATTTACCCTACTCTTCAAATTAATGAGATTCTCTTCTTTTCCAGTGTGTAAGACGCAGGCATGAAGTTTTCGATGTAAACCACTTGAATTGAATATGAACCGAATTTTTGTTTGGTTTCAATTAAGTTTGGTACAAACCCACCCCCC